GACACCAAACGGTCCATCCCTTGTGACAGGTGTTAATTATAGGGTACAATTAGAGAATGTATTCTACTACAATAAGCCTACTAGTATTATTCCCTGGCAAGGGTTTAGTTTTATGACATGTAATAAACCCTTTCCAGTCAGTCAGTGGGTCCGGTAAACTTTCATTTAATCCATGAAGTAACGTAGGTCTATGTAATTTGTGTTTATGCAAACCGTGACAGAACAAAAACTATTTGCGCTTCTGTGAATAATAAGTAAAACATACACTTAAAACGGTATTTTGGAAAATGTTAGCCAGACCAAGGGCAAATATAGCAGTCAATATCAATTTTTGACACTTAGAACAACAAGGATGCAGATGAGTGAAGTTATACCAGGGATAATCTACAACGTCTTATATATAATCTCCCTGGTTATACTAATATATAGAATTGGTTCCTAGTTGATCGCATAGGAGGCCGAATACACTCCTAGGATGACGAATACACAGTCTATACACTCATGGGGATCCTTGGGAAAAGGAGAAACTGAAAGAAGTAGTGGTTAAATCCTTCCTAAATTTACAAAAAATTCCAAGCCTTTGAAATATCATGTTTCCAATTTTGGAAATTTTTGGAAATCACCATTTTTTTTCTTGTGTAGAAACTAATAAGGGAACACATGAAAGTACAAGTGTTCCTTTATTCTTTTTTAGGTTTCTTCACAAAGTATGTGTTGAATTGTGAGGGAAATTCTGGTTCCCATGAGTATATATTCAGGGGCCTCAACACATTTTCGTATGAGTTCCCATTTCCCTAATGACTGAGAAGGGAAGCTGGGCATCCAATATTTGTTTGGGTACTGTTTGCCGTAATGATGAAGATGAGAATCATGTTGTTATCATGTGTTTCAAATATCTAACGCGAATGTGCCGTTGTCTGCTTGTTTGTAAATACATGTATCCCAACAGGTTGAAATCCATTATTTTTGTGCAGAATGAATATCAAGAAAATGCTGTTTCATTTTGTGTTCCATATTCTTGAAATTAATTTATCCTGTAAATTAATTTAAACTGTTCATGAAAATATTGTCTGCCACAAGGGTACAAGAAATTGACTAAATTCACAATTTTTTATCATGTACTGTATTCAAACTTAATGATATAAATGGTCAAATGAATAAATAACTATGATTGTTTGTGGCTGTACCCCCAAGGGGGGTTGACTTACGTAATACAAGTGTCCTCCGGGAAGGGAATCCTAACTCACTCACTCAGTCACCTTGTTGATTGCATAGGGCCTCTAACTGTCCTACCTGGTTATAATGCCAACCTGGATATAATGCCATATTTTCTCCTGGACAACCGGTGACATTATAACCAGGGTATACCGTGTTTATTGGAAAATTACCTTTAGGGTAGGGGCGGTGGGGTAGCCTAGTGGTTAAATCGTTGGCTCGTCACGCCGAAGACCCGGGTTCGAATCCCCACATGGGTACAAAGTGTGAAGCCCATTACTGGTGTCCCCCCGCCGTGATGTTGCTGGAATATTGCTAAAAGCGGCGTAAAACCAAACTCAGTCAGTACCTTTGGGGTTGGGGTAGTAAAATGATGGTTGAATCTACGCGTCATTATGTACTCGTATTTTGTCCTTTATGGTATATAAAGAAACAAAGACAAAAAGTTCGATGACAGTTTTTAAAATTTGTTTCTATATTTTAAAGAAATCTTTTTTATTCAACATGCCCAGAAATCTTTGTACCATAACCATCCACAACAGTCCCCCCGTATCCGCCCTTCCAGTTATCATTCGCACGATTAACTGACACTTCAAAATTTGCGCGTGCAGCTTCCGTTAGCACGTGCGTTATGTTATTTGTCTCGTGAATTCGGATGGTAGCAACACGTGAATCGAACGTGAGTTTATTTGATTTTTAAATTTCGATATGTATCTTTTGGTAGATTACATTAACTGCATCGGCATTGGATCGTTATTTGTTTCAAGATGAATTCGATGCTTTATTTGTGTTGCATCATGTGTATACTCTGATTTAGATAAACGTAATATTCAATATTCAAGTACAGAGAGCCAGAGTCATAGTTTATATCCACTAGAGTCTGTTTGCATTGAAAACGTACCGATGAATGTCAATTTAAACAAAAAGGTAAATCGAATAAGATGAAATTAAGTTTGCGAATCCTCATAATTTTACCTTGCCAACTGACCATTTAAATCTCAGAATTGTTTTCAACTTAGGATATAAGTTGTTTAACAAACGATCATAGTTTCAAATCGCTATTATTGGTTTGTATTACAAGGGTGTATGCACATTAAATGAAACACCGAGAACAAGTAGAGTTGGTCTAAGTTAACGCTTACCACGAACCGCACGTGCATTTGTTTCACTGTTCCATCTACTGCGCTCACCCCCTTGTAATACAAACCAATAATAGCGATTTGAATGTTTGATCGTTTGTTAAGCAACTTTTGTCCTACAATGAATACAATTCTGAGATTTAAATGTTCAGTTGGCAAGGCAAATTTATGAGGATTTGCTGTCTTAATTCCACTTTATTTGATTTACTTTTTTGTTTAAAGTGAAATTCACTGAAACAGACTATAAAGGGCCATAGGCCCAAAATACATTAAAAAATACAGTGTAGTCAGGGGCACAATGATTTTTCAAGAGTGTTTATGATAATCCTTTTATCATTAAATAGGCCCAAGTGAATTAAAGCAACATATTTTACAGTATCTAAGTTAATATTCTGGAAAATATTAACTAAGGAAAAAGGTGTATGACTTTTTAATATTTTTGTAATACACCACTCTCTTAGTTGTGAATAGGTTTCACAAATGAACAATAGATGGAATTCATCTTCATTACGGATTTACATGATGTACATAATCTTTAAATATAGTAAGTGTTGATAAAAGGCCCTGTTTCTACAACTGTCTTAAAATTACTGCACCTAAATTGTGCTAAAGCAGCTCTTAAATGGGTAGAAATGTTAAACGAGAAATAACATTCGACATTTAATATTGACTTAAAATACTGATATAGTTTCATTTGGAGGAATTACTCAAGGAAGAGTACCAAAGACTGTTTTAAATTATCTGTAAATCTTTGTTTAAATAAGATTGTAAACATTTTTACATTATCAACATATTGGCTCAACCAAACATATCCAAAACCAAAATTAAAAAGAATACTTTTAACTTTGGATACCCGTTGTAAGGCTACTTTTTAAACTCCTCGTTCATAAAAGTACTTCACCAACAACAGCAAACTTCATGAGAACATCCGATAAAGTGCTATTTAAATGAAATCCAAGAAAGAATTGAGCGATAAGGATGTCCGTGCGACAGTGGACTTCACTCAAATACAGAGAAAAAGCAATGAACATGAAGCAATAGGGTCGAGAAGTCAGTTATCGAGGGACACCGTTTAGACTGGTGATCTGCGTTGGCTGAGTGGGTTAGATCGCTGACTTTATGTGCTGGCGATCAGATGCCCTCTTGTCTTTGCGAGGATTAAAGATGTTATAAAAAACAAACCATTTGAGATGACCGCCGACTCGAAATGTTTTACAGCACAATACATTATGACATTGTACTGTGTAGCATTTCGAGTCGGGGGTCATCTCAAAAACATATTTTTGTAATTGTTAATCTTCGCAAAGACACAAGGGCCTGTGCTAGCGATTAAGTGCCTGACTATGAAAGCGATATTTTGGTGATTCCAGATGTGAAGAGCTCAGGCATGGAGCGACTTGGTAAACTGTATTAGTAACAGAATGGCGATAAATTGGTGCTTTTCCACGTGAGCTATAGTGCTTTGATACTATTTCAACATTGCTAACGTTGTATGGTCACTCTCCTTCTAACACTACCGTTCCAACACGAGCGTGCTTGTAGGGTCCGGGCAGATACTGATGGTAACATATATAACTGTTTTGTTTGTCTGTTAGGGGCGGTGGGGTAGCCTAGTGGTTAAAGCGTTGGCTTGTCACGCCGAAGACCCGGGTTCGATTCCCCACATGGGTACAATGTGTGAAGCCTATTTCTGGTGTCCCCCGCCGTGATATTGCTGGAATATTGCTAAAAGCGGCGTAAAAGCATACTCACTCACTCACTCATTGTTTGTCTGTTAGTTTTTTAACGCCGCACTCCGTTATATGCCAACTCTATGGCGTCGGTCTGTAAATGATCGAGATTGACCAGACAATCCAGTGATCAACAGCACGTGCATCCATCTACGCAACTGGGATACGATGACATGTGTCAACCCAGTCGTCAAGCCTGGCCAGCCGATCCCGTTAGTCGACTCGTACGACAAGCATGGGCTGCTAAAACAACCCAATTCTAACCCGGATCTTCACTGGGTTATACGGTGTTTGCCTGTCACTACGTGTGTATTTTTCAAACACTGCAGGATAAAAATTAAAAAATCAGGATCCGGATAGGTTGCCCTGAAAAATAATGCGGACTTCGAACCACATGTTAACTCGATCTCTATTTACTGAGTCTTCGTTTTCTGGGACACAAGCCAATAACAGCTGGCTACTGGTTCCATTCGTCCACTGATGTAGACAATATATTAACTAACGAGTTAAGCCAAGGCTCGATAATTACATAATTAATATAACTCGGCAAAGATAATTTGTCATTCCCCGAGACAATTACGTAATTAATATAACGAGGGTTTGGTAATTGTTTTGATTACCCATATAAGTTTTCGATCTAAAAAAACGCTGACAGCAGTTTCTCTAAAGGAAACACGCGATTTCTGGAATCCCCATATCCCTACGCGTGTGATGCGCCTTCATGTCATTGGCTGGAATCAGCCAATCAACATTCACCAAAAGGTGTAACCTCCCAATGGACTTACAGGAAAAATACAACCCTGTGTTATCCTTCCAGTATGCGTAATAATGTATGCTATGCTATGTAATTAGATATATACATTGGACATGTACGTATGCACAGTTTGTAACTAATTCTCCTTGTCTTGTTTGACAGCAAATGTTCCGTCGCGCCGTCGTCGTTGGTGTCGTCACGGGCGCCGTTGTGTTAGTCCTGTACAGTGTTGTTGTGACGACCAACCATTCCTTCGTCACAATGTCCATGGTCTCTCAGTACCTACCAGCGCAACCTGCCGTTGTCATAACAGTAACGCCGCAGAGTCTCAGTAGCGCCACTAATGACCACCTTCGAGTCATCCAACGGTCTTCTACAGGTCAACAGATACAATCCAGCACACCACACCACTTGGTGTTTACAACTCACCCTCCAAGTGTACATACGACAGGGTCAGATATGAAGGTCAAGATTAAAACAACTCCATACATAATTTACAGATGCTTGAAAGGACAACTCTGCGGTGGATATGCAGATCGTCAGAAAGGCATCGTTGCTGGTTACGTCATGTCGGTAATGACGGGTCGAGGGTTTGGTATAGAGATGAACAAACCTTGTGAGTTGTCAAACTTTCTCCGCCCAAATGAAGTGGACTGGACAGTCAACCCAGAGATACACCGACTCAAATCGCAGACCTTGAAAAAGCTCGACAGGTCAGCACATCCACTGCGAATGAAACTGGCTACTGATGACGTCAGCAAGATCTTCACAGAAAACATAACTTACCTCACTCTTAATACTGAATTTGCTCAATATCTGAAGAAGAATAATATTCATAGGAAAAGTCTAGGTTGGATGGCCAATGCCTCTCTGAGTGAAATCTATGCCAAATCGTGGAGGACGTTGTTTCGTTTAAAGGATGATTTGCAAAAGGATCTGGATAAATTCCTATCTCTTGTTCCAAGGAACTACTCGCTTATTTGTGCACAAATTCGTATGGGTAAGAATCCAAACATTCCAAATGATAGCGAGACAAGAAACACTGATAAAAGCGTGAAACCAATATGGGAATTTCTGGAACGGTATAACGATACGTCAAAGTATAAAATATTTGTGTCAACAGATTCAGAAAATATAAGAAACGAAAGCCTTCGATTTTTCCCAAATAATTCTTTGACACTTCCGGGTGTTATTGCGCATGTGGACAAGTCACCTCGATGTGAGGGCTTCCGGAAGGTGATACTGGACCAGGAAGTGCTGAGCCATTGTGACACCCTGTTGATCACCAACAGTGGTCTGGGGAGGATAGCAGCCTTTTTAGACAACGAGAAGACAATCTGTATTGTTTCTTGAATCGACAACTCACTAAGTGCAATTATACCTCACCAGAATTTATGCCCAAGAGATGGTAGAAGAATGCTTGTGTGCAGGTTCATGTTACCGTCCTGTTCCTAAAGGATGTATAGGTAAGAGGGCTAAATCGTTCTTCCGTCTTTTAAAAGTATCCTGGATATCAACAACGACTTGATTCTGAAATATACTTCTCAAAAGAGTTAAAGAACACCCTAATGTTACTTATTTCATCGGTCAGGGGCAGTGGGGTAGCCTAGTGGGTAAAGCGTTGGCTCGTCACGCCGAAGACCCGGGTTCGAATCCCAACATGGGTACAATGTGTGAGGACCATTTCTGGTGTCCCCCGCCGTGATGTTGCTGGAATAGTGCTAAAAGCAGCGTAAAGCCAAACCCAGTCAGTCAGTCAGTATTTCATCGGTCATGCCGGCAATAGCTGCATGGAAGAAACGAGTTCTTTACTTCTTTCGAGTGGTATATGGTGTGCTTTTATTGTCATACTTCTGAACAATAGGTCCCTGGCGCTGAGAGCGTGTAATGCCCGGATGTGTCATTCAGGGAAAGGATACTTACGGGAGTACACGTGAAGATTCGGGTTAGTGTTGGTCTTCAGCAACTCATGCTTGTCGTAAGAGGGACTAACGGGATCGGGTGGTCAGACTCGCTGACTTGATGGAAACATGTCATCGTGTTCCAGTTGTGTAGATCTATGCTCATGCTGTTGATCACTAGTCTGTCTGGTCCTGACTCGATTATTTACAGACCGCCGCCATATAGCTGGAATATTGCTGAGTGCGACGTATAACTAAACTCACTCACTCACTTTAGGGAAGGAGCTAGTGGTGACTTACTAACACTGTAAACTGTATGAGATTACTTCTCTACGCATCAGCAGCAGTGGGGTAGCTTACTGGTTAAAGCGTTCGCTCGCCACTCGGAAGACTCGAACAAAGCGGTATAGTGTGGGAGGATAGAGGACTAAGGATTTGATATTCTGGATAACAATTGTGCATATTGATGCTCATGCTGTTGATCACAGGATTGTCTGGTCCAGACTTGATTATTTACTGCTGAGTGCGGCGTAAAACTAAACTCACTCACTCACTATTCTGGTTGATGTGGTGATGGGATGGATGTGGCTGAAGATTAACGCCGCACTAAGCAATATTCCAGCTATATCTCGGATTTTATATGGAGAGTTGATACTTTTAAGCCGCAGCTGCCAAACACGGTGTACCTTGTAACTAACGCTTGGGACCTAAGTGTCCATTTTCAAGCCCGCCTCTCCCTACCCCGATATGTTTTAAGAGATAACTGATAAACGTTTTGTACCCACACAGTAAGATAACAGTCACACGTCTTGCCTCTATATATTTACTTATGCATTTTTTACAAACCAAACCCTGGATTCCTCGGTTGTACTTTCAGCTAGACAAACGTTTCGTATCTTAAAAATATGTAATTGTAATAGCAACCACTGAGTCCTTTTAAACTGAAAAGGAGCCCCAGTGATATAGAAGATTAAAAATCTAGACTTGGTTCGTTTATCCTGCGTTCACATCGCTCCCGTTTTCACCAAACTGCGATACGGCACGAAAAGTGAAAAAGTCGGATTACTATCCTCCATTGACGGATCTGTGTGTGTGTGTGCGTGCGTGCGTGCGTGCGTGCGTGTGGAGAGAAAATTCCTTCATCCGCCTATGTCCTCAATGGTCTGAGGGTCCAGAGCGCACGGCTAAGCACTCCCAACAATAGCAGGTGCGCCCCGTAACATTCGGGAAACTCAGTGGATTTAGTCTAGTCGGTTTACAAATCGTGACTGTGCATGACAGACATTTCGCCCTTTGTTACAGAGGGTGTGCCTGGAATGAGATACGTCGTGACCCAGTGATCACCTGCTAGTTGATAACCGTAAACTAAGGCATGTGGGCGTATTTCTCATGTACGAATTGCGCAATAACAAAGAGATCCTTTCACGACTTTACACAACAGCTGCAGCTAAGCTTTTGTATCAGGTCCAGCTTATTTTCATATTGAGACTCACACAGAATAAGATTAATTTTCCTCATCCACGCACGCAAAAGTATATGCTTAATTTTATTGAAATATTAAAGATAACCATCCCAAAACGCTTCAGAGGAGGACTCGAAATTTTATTTTTTTTTGGTGTGTTTTTAAGTGAATCAGTATTTCCAGTTAACCCTAGTTGAAAGACTGTTATTACATTCAAGAAGGATTGGTTCGTCGTTTTACAGCGGCACGTATATTTCACATTCAGTCTGATAATAGAGCCTGATTTAATCCTTATTATTTTGAAACGAAGATGGCTTCAACCAACTTGCTAAACAGCTCATTTCCGGTGCTTTTCGAAAGCGTAACGAAGTTCCACTTACTGACCGAGCTTGGAAACGTTGTTATTCATTGTCCAAAGATGGTTGTTCCATCAGTTACTTTATCGAGTGTGATTCAATGGTTGTGTTTTGTTTGTTTGTTTTGTTATGTTATGACGACTCATTCCATATATGGAATGTTCTCACGCCAGCATTATTATGTATTAAAGAATTGTATTATTTTGCCACATTAAGTGATCAAATGTCCCACATCTGGGATGTGGATTTTTGTTGAATTTGCTTTGAATAAATTTTATTTTCAAACAACTTAGTCATGTATTTGAATGATATGAGGGTAGAGGAAATACTGAATACTGTTCCGGGACTAACAGCCGGATTCACACCATCGACACATGCGATAACCAGATGTTACCTGATATTTAATACCACTGGGCAATATTTCATTTCAAGTAGACTAAGGCTTAGTCTCTGAATATATGTATATAATTTTGATAGTAACAAACAAGCCCATTTAAATTGAAAAGGGCCCTAGGTAGACCAGAGATTCAGGGGAAATCTAGACTTGCTTTATTTAGGGCTTTAGCACTGCAGAGAGAGCTTGGCAGTAGGGAAAATAATGTGGTTCAGGGACTGTGAGACAGACTACATTTCAAGCTGCACCATGAAACGTATGCTCGCCATATATTGCCTTGTACATCAACACATTTGTCATGTATGCCTTGAACCCTGATTTCTAGACATTTCCAAGCATGAATTCAAACTCTTGTAGGGACGGTGGGGTAGCCTAGTGGTTAAAGCGTTAGCTCATCACGCCAAAGACCCGGGATCCATTCCCCGAATGGGTACAATGTGTAAAGCCTTTTTCTGGTGTCCCCCGCCGTGATATTGCTGGAATATTGCTAACAGCGACGTAAAACCATACTCACTCACTCAAACCTTAGTACCTAAGTAAATACTTGTTCGCAGCATATTCCCAATACATTACTTTTAATTGCAATAGGTGCTGGAATCTCCGATTCCATTGTAAGTTTACTATTATTTGAAATGTGAATTTCTTCAGGGAGGGAAACATTTCTTAGTTTTCAAGTTTCAAAAGTTTTCTTGCCTTAGAAATTATATATCATTCCGGATATCAAGGGTATTTATGTGAACAGTTCTTATACCCGGTACTAAATCAAGATGGTCACAGTTGTGTCCTCTGTGAATTACTGGATTCACATTGTGTTATTTTTACAAATTCTGCTTTTCCATTCAGGCTCATATGACCTCATTAGGCTTTGGAGTTTGGCTAAGCAAAACAGTGTTATGCAAGCGGGCACGTTTCTATTATAGGTCACCAGCTTAATATTGACGGTTGTCAGTTATTTAGACAACTTTGAGTGGGAGGACAGGATTACAGGCCAATAATAGAGATTGACTAAATTAATTTAAGTGATCTGTTTCGCATCCATGCAATATTCAAGCTAATACGGGGCGGTGAGGTAGCCTAGTGGTTAAGGCGTTCGCTCGTCACGGCGAAGGCCCGGGTTCGATTTCCCATATGGGCACAATGTGTGAAGCCCATTCGGGTGTCCCCGTCGTGTTGATGCTGGAATATTGCTAAAAGCGGCGTAAACCTCATTTACTCACTCACGCTAATACACTATCCCTGATTTGAGTAACGAAAGCTGTGTAAACTATTGTGTTCACAAGCTGAAAAGCTACATTATAGATACTCACACACAGTATTGTTATGCCTTTCGGTAATGAAATTTCTTCATACGTATTTGCACGCAAGGAAGTTAAATGAGTGATTCTTATTTACAAATGTACATGTAGTTTGTGCATTTGAATCACACAAGTGTAGGCATGATTTAAAGAGTTTCATGCCTCAAAACGCGTTTAACCTGTCCGACATGATTGAACGCTATTTTTGAGTAGTTTCCAAGTACATGTCTTCCAGGGAGGGGAATTGACCGACTTATTATTAATAACTGACTGACTGACTGAGTTTGGTTTTACGCCGCTTTAAGCGATATTCCAGCAACATCACGGCGGGGGACACCAGACATGGGCTTAACATATTGTGCCCATGTGGGGATTCGAACCCGGGTCTTCGGCGTGACGAGCCAACGCTTTAACCATTAGGCTACCCCACCGCCCCACCAAAAAAAGAAACAAAAGAAACAGAGGACGTTGGATTTTATGTTTTCAGTTCAGAGCAAGAAGCAATCTCAAAGTGAGACAAAACCATCAGAATTTCTCCGGACACAAGACTCTCAGTCTCATATAAACCCAGTTCCAGACATCATCAGTGAAAGCAAGAGTAAGGATGTTTCAATGGAGAGTTCTCTGACATCTGAGCTCCAATCATCGCCCGGCAGTGATGAAGATGAACGTCAACATGTGTGCAATTCACCTTGTTGTTCTGAAATTAGTGAACCTTATCAGCCAAATGCTGCATCAACCTTGAAAAGACAATTACGAAACCTGGGAGATCATTCTCGTTCTCATGGTTTCATGAATATCCTTGGCTTACTCTGTGTACAACAAAAAACAAAGTTTTCTGCTTTTATTGCAGACTGGCTTACGGTAAGGACAGTGATCTGCAGAAGCATCCTACCTCCAGACAACCTGAAGCAACATTCATATCAGAAGGTTTCAACAATTGGAAAAAGTCTGGAGATAAGTTCAAAAAGCATGATAAGAGTTCATATCACAGAGATGCCCTTGCAAAACACAAGAAACATGGTAATGACAGTGTCACAAGGTTACTTCTGGCAAAAGTTACCAAGGAATAGCAGTGCAGACGAAACCTTCTGCTTGTGCAGCTGTCATGTCTCTTATTCTTATCAAGGCAAGGATTAGCGCTTCGAGGGCATGTTGAAGAGGAATCGAACTTGTTTCAGCTTCTGAAACTGAGAGGTTCTGACATAGAGGGGTTGCCAACATGGTTATCTGAAAAAACATATATGTCACCTGCAATTGTGAATGAGCAATTGATGCTCCTGGGCCGAGCTGTGCGACTGAGCTGCCAGGTTCTTTGCCTTTATAGCGGATAAAACAAGAGACATATGAAACAAAGAACAAGTTGTCATATGTATCCGTTGGGTGGATAATGATTTCAGTGTCCATGAGGATGCTATTGGCCTATATGTGGTTCCTTCCACAACATCAGCAACACTAACAGAAGTACTAAAAGACACACTTATCCGTTGTGACTTACCACTATCGAATTGCCGAGGTCAAGGGTATGATGGTGCAAGTAATTTTCAAGGCCATGTCAATAGAGTTGCTGTCCAACTGCAAAGAGAAGAACCACGAGCAGTTCATGTCCATTTCCTCGCCC